TCCAACTCACGAACACAGCATTCTCTCCATTTGGTTAAGGCCTTCTCTAATGTCTCTCAACAATGCTTTTTTTTTTTTCACAGTGTACAGGTCTCGCACAACTTTGTCAGATATATCATTAAGTATTTCAGTTTCTGACAAAATTGTAAATGTCTTTTTTCCATTTATGTTGGTTGCTGCTAATATACAGAAATGCAGCTGATTTGTATATGCTGATCTTGTATCCTGGAACCTTGCTAAACTCACTTATTAGATCTAGTTGCCCTTTCGCAGATTTCATGGGATTTTTCTACATAGATATGTCACTTGTGAATAAAAACAGTTTTACTTCATTCTTTCCAGTCTGGATACCTTTTGTTTCTTTCCTGATCATACTGGACAAAACCTCCATTACAATGTTCAGTAGCAGTGAGGATGGACACCCTTGTCTTGTTCCTGATCTTAGAGGGGAAATATTCACATTTAATTTTTCACTTTTAATTTTGATCTAAGCTGTAAGATATCCTTAGATGCTCTTTGTATATCTGTTGAGATGATCAGATTGCTCTTCTTTCCTGGTCTGGCAATAGGATGAAACACATTGATTTTTAAATGTTAAACCATGCTTGCATTCCTGGAATAACTGCACTAGTCTTTTTTATATATTGTTGGGTTCTGTCTGTTAGCAAATTGTTAAGAATTTCCTCATCTATGCTCATGAGAGATACTGTTCAGTAATTTTCTTTTCTGATGTCTTTGCTTGGTATTGATACCAGGATAACTCTGGTGTTCTTTTTTAAAATCAGCTTTCTTTCAATCTGGGTAGTTTCCACTGCTGTGTATTCAATTTCACTGTCCTTTTCTTCTGTGTTATCTTCTCTAAGCTCATCTAGATACTTTTCATGTCAAATATTTAAACTTTTAGTTCTAGTATTTCTATTTTATTTTTTATACTTTATTTTTCTCCATTTAATATTCATGATTTAAAATCTTGAGTCATATCTATAAAAATGTTCAGTGTTTTTCCTGCTAATTCCATCATCACCATCATTTTGAAGTTTGTTTCAATTGTCTGATTTTTCTCCTGGTTATGGGACACATTTTTCTGCTTCCTCCCTCATCTAAGCAGCTTTTATCAGATAACTAAACATCTAGATTAAAAATTTCAATCTAAGTATCTAGATTTTGTTGTCTTTTTTAAAAGACTGCTTAGTTTTTCTCTGGCAGATAGTTTATTTGCAGAGCTGCTTGATCATTTCAAGACTTGTTTTAAGCTTTGGAGGGTAACCTTAGAAAGCCTTTATTTTAGCACCCCAATGTTCACTGCAGCACTATATACAATAGCCAAGACATGGAAGCAACCTAAATGTCCATCGATAGATGACTGGATAATACTACTCAGCCATAAAAAATAATAAAATAATGTCATTTGCAGCAACATGGATGGACCTGGAGATTGTCATTCTAAGTGAAATACATCAGAAAGAGAAAGAAAAATACCATATGATATCATTTATATGTGGAATCTAAAAAAAAGGCAAATAAACTTATTTGCAAAAGAGAAACAGACTCTCAGACAGAGAACAAACTTGTGATTACAGGGACGAGGAGGAGAGAAGGGGGTGAGCAGATAAATTGGGAGTTAGAGATTTGCAGATACTGATATATATATAAAAGATAAACAACAAGTTCATGTTGTATACTGCAGGGAACTATATTCGATATCCTGTAGTAACTTACAGTGAAAAAGAATGTGAAAACAAATATATGTATGTTCATGTATGACTGAAGCATTGTGCTGCTATACACCAGAAATTGACACACTGTAATAGACTATACTTCAAAAAAAATATATATATACAGAAAAAAAAAATATATATATACAGAAAAAAAGAAAAGAAATCCTTTATTTTAGGGCTAGTTTAATCTCTTCTGGCTCTTCTGGCATCTGTACTGAATGCCCTGGGTATTTTGTAAGTTCTTTCCACTGTTTGGAACTTGAATATTTTCCAACCATGTGTAAGCTCCACGTGTTGTTCAGTTAGCAGACCCTTGGTATTTGTTCTTTCTCAGGCCTCAAGGAATCCCACCCTAGGCACACACTTGATTTAGTATTCAGCCAAAGATTCAAGAAACCCGTATAAAGATTTCTAGAATTCTTTCTTGATGTAACTGCCACCTCTGCATTATTCTGGCCCACAAATTCCAGGCACCTCAGTCTTGCTAAACCCTGATTTCTGTCCCCTCAGTTCAACAAAATCACTGTGACGTACTTGGTTCCCACAGCCTATGCCAGGATCTAGTAAACACCTCCAAGAAGAAAGGCAGGGAGACTTAGAGGTCATCTTTGTTGCCTTTTGTTTAAAATCTAGAAATAATTATTCCAAACCACCCCTTTCCCCCGAAGTTTTCTATTATTTATGGTTGGAGAGTTAATCTGGTACCAGTTACTCTGTCATGACCCAGAGTATAAGTTTCTGCGTATATAATTTTTTATGTCTTCTTCACTTATAATGACATTCAAATATTCCACTGTCTGTATATTTCAACATTATTCAACATTTCTCTATTGTTGGACCACTACATTATTTAGAGTTATTTGCTATTATAAATAATGGTTCAGTATCTCTGTAAAAAAAAGTGTTTGAGTGTAAGTTTTAAATTAAAAGGTAAACTACCTAAATGTTCATCAACAGGGGAAGTACCTAGATAAATTATCGCTAAGTTCATTTAATACGTTTATAGCCATATGTTACTGGTTGAATTGTGTCCCCCAAAAGATAGGTTAATATTCTAACCTCCAGTACTTCAGAAGGTGACCTTACTTGGAAATAGGGTTTTTGCTGATGTAATTATTTAAGTTACAAAGATGTTATTAGGGTGGGCCCTAAGCCAATATGGCCGATGTTCTTATGAAAAGGGTAGATTTGGACAGAGAAATAGACACATTCAGAAGATAATATGAAGATGCACAAGGAGAAGAGGGCCATTTTATTAGAGTGATGCATCTACAAACCAGGGACTGCCAACGACTGGCAGCAAACACCAGAAACTAGAAGAGGCACAGAAGGATTCTCCCCTAGAGCTATCAGAGAAAGCATGGACCTACTGACACCTTGACTTGAGACTTCTAAGCCTCCAGAACCGAGAGACAAAACATCCCTGTTGTTTTAAGCCAACCATTCTTGGTACTTAAGTTACAGTAGCCCTAGGAAACTAACACACCATACAATAAGGATTGATTATTGTAAATCATATTGTCAAAAACTTTCTAGAATATGGGAAAATTCTCATCATGTGCAAAGCAGGTACTATTATTATTCCCATTTAACAAATATGGAAACTGAGGCCCCAGGTTTAATAATTTGCTCAAGATGGCATACACTGTAAGTGGTAGAACATAATTTGAATCCAGGTAGATTCTTGTATGCTCCTAACTACTATACTACACTAGCTCTTACTTACAGCTATAAGCAGCATTAAAACTTTTTAATGCAAACTGAGAAGTCAATTCCATTTAAATATAAACAAAATAAGCCAGGGAAGTAATAAAGTAGGAAACTGAACTCCCTGAGTTGGAGATAAAATATTCTAACATTCCCCAAATTACAGTGCATTTTAGAATAAATTCTTCAGGGTGATTATTCCATAGAATAAACCCTGAAAGAATACCAACACCTAAGAGTAGCCACAAAAATAAACACTTACGTGAAAATACACTATTATTTATTTGTTACATTTTATTTTCTCCAATGGGACTGTGAAAAGTTCATTCCTTTTGAGTATTGAGGAAAGAAGTCTAGAGGTTAGGTGCTGGATGTAAGATGAGATAGATAAACTGTTAAAAAAACTATAGTGCTTTCAGAACCTGGGGGGTACAGTGAAAAGAAAAAACTTTTACAGCAGAGGAAATTTAATGTAGCTAATGAGGTAGTCTTATGTTTATGAATGAACAGCTCTGATCCAGGAATTTAGTAGGAGGGGCCAAAAAATTTCCAGGTAGAGGTTTAGGTGGGTACAAAGCAGTTTTCTCTGTCACATCCCATTCCCTAAGCCCTCCTCCTCTGTCCGTCTGACATAGAAGAGCTTTTACTGAGTTGTCTTTTTGTGGTACGCACTGGGTTTTCATCACATAATGCAACAAAAAAGAATCTAACAAAATGCTACTCTTATTTGCTGTAAAATTATTGTTAAAAACAACTTAAAATTTCTTATATAAGGCCATTTATAATATGGCCCCTATTAATGTCCTATAAAAGAAATCTAATTTGTAGTTGATTGCACAGAAAAGCTTTACTTCCCTGAAGATACAGAATGTTCTTCCCCCATGTATGGAAAGAGAATCATGTAGCTGATCGTTTGCAGCCCAGCCACAGAGTATATGAATCCCTGTATACAGCCTACATAACTACATTCTACTATTTTCCCTACATCCTTTTAATTTTTACCAAATTATTTTCCCTTGGTCTTAATTTTTAATTATTTTTAAAAAATTTTTTACATTAAAGTATATTTATTTATTTCTTTTGTAATGCTTCAAATCATTTATGGAATGAATTTTATATTAATAAATAACTGACAAAGAGTTATATCACAACTTTCAAAAAAAGGAACAATATCAAAAAATGATCTAAATGCTTTACCTCACACACTGTGGGTGCTGAGAGCAATGTTTTGAACAATGGAATTTTATGTGGATGAGGACTGGCTGCTGGAATGCACCATAAACAATGAATCTCCTTAAGACTTTTTGTTCAACAAAAGACTCACTGTAGCCTCCTAATCTTTATATTCCATGAGGTTAGAAGAGTGTAAGCCTCACTCACCACTGTTACTCACTATCTCGTATTGCCAAGCTCATTCTGAAAGAATAAATTTAGTTTATAACCTAAGATTCTACTACATTGTATTTTTTAAACTCTGCGTCCTTAAAAATCACTTCAAACACAATTTAGAAATGGCTTTCTTGTGCAAGGAGAATTCACTTGAAAAAGAAAAACAGTTCTCTTTTTGATACATACGATTCTTGCTGCAAACATGTTGCATGGCCCAAACTGCCCATAGCTGGACTCCTGGTGTTGTGAAACAGCCAAGTAATGGGAAAAATGGATTAAAAGACCTAAAAGTTCAAAAGAAAAGAAAAAAGGGTACATCCTATACTTAGTGTCATTTGCTAAAACAATGATTCCTGAGCTTTTTATTCCAGAAATTTCATTGTACCATTTTGAAACTAATATAAATGAGCTATATTACATCTTTTCTTTGTCTTAGCTATTTGATAAAGGATCGTATCCAAACGTCTTGCTACAGAAGGTGGAAGGTGATCAGAACAAGGTACTTTTTTTCAGAAGTACTCATTTGGTCTTAAAGATACACATTTGAAGAATAGCAGACCTTGGCTTGGACACTTAGGTAAGGAGAAATTAGTTGATAACTAGTAGAACACCATGAAGGAGGTCTAGAGTCTTTCTATTTCTACTAGTCTTCTGCCCCAAAATGTGTAGAACATAAGCTGGAAAATCAAAAATGCTGGCAGCATTAGCATTTATAAAGTAGACAACAAAATAAGTTGTAATATTATTCTTTATGCAGCAATCTGGAACACTTCAGGTATATTAGTAACTTAGCTATCAAGTCACCTAATTGTCATAAATAGAGTTAGGCATCCCAGTATGTACCTTCATAAATTATTACAAACTGTTTCCTCAAACAAATCAGGTACTACTTCTAGTTCTTTAAATGTGTCCTCTTATTCTAGCTCTCCTTGCATTAATAATCTTCCTAAAATCTTCTGCCCTACTTAATTTCTCAAAACTCAGCTCATGACCTACTTCTTCTAGAAGTTTTTTTACCATTTTCCAGTGCAGATTTAAGTACTTTCTTTCATCTTTAATTTCATAGCATCCTATGCACATAACTAGCATATCTGAATTATATCTGATGTACATTTGATCTCCCTCACTAGGCTGTAAAGTTCTTATATGCAGGCACCATGTCTTACTCATCTTTGAACTTCAAGAGCATAACAACTCCCTGGCACTTGTCTTCAATAAATGTGGAATGAAGGAAGGACTGAGAATGACAGGTAGCAAAATAAAATAAAAATACTTTGCTTACTTTAAAGCCAGTACAAAGATAGATGCCCAAGGGAAATACTATATACATCTAAAAGGAATGATCTCTAGGCAAGCAAAATGACTAGGTTACTGGTCTTAACATTAATTATTTTGCTTATTACCTGTATGCTACCATCTCACACTCTGGAGTTGGCCATTTCAAAATAGCTGAATGCTGAAAGACATAAGACACACAAGAAAGGATTATAATATTTATTTGGCACTGCATTATGAGGCTTTCATAGTTTAATCACTATGAATGTTATTTGTATGTTTCCAGAAAACACCAAATTACCCTACCAGATCATCAAGAAGAGAATTCCTCTGGCTACGACTCAATGTCCAAGCTTGTTCGCCTCTAGATATTAAATGGGCAATAATTCCAGCTGCAAAGTAACTGACTTCCACTTCAACACTATGTAGGAGGCTACTGATGTGGTCTATAAAATCCTTCCACATTAATTCAGAATGCAATTCTTGTACTTCAGCTATATTGTTCTGAAAAAAAAAAAGAAGACACAAAAATTAATGTAATGTGGATAGTAAATGGCTAAATGACTCTACATTCTAAGAAAGAACACAGATTGCAGTGATTTAAACATGTATGTACATATGGACAAAAGGTGAAGAACTGTTGCTATGTTAGCACACTGGGATTAGGGGTGATTTTATTCCTCTCCTCCCCAAACAATAAATTAATAAAGAAATAGTAGTTAGTTCCTTTTCAGGCAAAATGGTGAACTAAGTGATCTAAAATTTCCTGCTACAAAGTATCTGGAAGTATTGGGTGAAAAATAGACAACAAACTTTAAATATGTACCTTTACTCACTGGGATAAGATGCAAAAAGAAAATCAAACTAGAATGGTAGCATGCCATCACTGGCCTGCAGGGGCAAGAGAACTGGGTTTTAATAGCCATGCAAGGGCAGAATGTAAGGGCCAGAGACTGGAACTAAGACTTCATATATGAGGCAAGGACTTTAAAGCATTACACCTCAGGAAAAGAGCGGATTGACATGGATGCATAAAAAAGATGCCTACTGTAATCTGGGCTCTGGCCTAAAAGAAAAAGTCTTCCCTTATAATTTATAACCAGGGGTCTGCCCTCACACAAGACTATAGTTCAAATTTACACCATCTGTGTGGTCTGAAGAAACTCTAACCTGAGAAGCCACAGTAAGACAGGTAGGAGAAAACCCAGAAGTTTGGTATCTAAAAAGCAAAGAGGGGTGAGTGTATCAAGAGGATGAAGGGACTAGCAGTTCTGAATAATGAGGAGAGCCAGAGTAAGATGAAGACAAAAAAGTATCCATTTGTTTGAGCAGTGTAGTGATCCTGTCTTACAAATTTCACAGCCTTAGACCACTGAACGTCAAAATTTGCCTGCTGGCCTAAGGAAGGTAGGTTTTTTATCTGAACTTGGGGTGAGATGGCTTCCCTAGGCAATACATAAGGAGGACTTCTATTCACTTGGAAAACTATTGAGGGGTTTCCAGTTTAGACTGTGCTTGATCTTCTCCAAAAAGATCTAAGATCCAACTTATCTCACTACTCTAAAGATTAATCCTCATTCTTAAAACTTCACTTCATCTACTATGAAATCATAATTCTCTTCCTAGCACATTGATTCCATTCTTTAGGAACCAAAACCCCTGGCTTTTTCATTGATAAACTATTCAATCCCTAGTTTAAGTCATTCTATAATAAATGAAAATGAAAGGCATTAAGTCCAAATGTATTCTCTGTAATGACCAACAAGTTTTCTTCTCCAACCATGGAAAAGAGTGAAGACAGAAGAAACAAGCGTAACTATACTTACTACATGAATGTGTAGAATCCTGTATTGTTCCATCAGCATCAATGATTAATCAATGCCTCCTATGCCCTTCTTCAATCTCATACATTCAAATAAGAAAAGTCATCTTACAATCATTTTTATATTCTTTCCTATTTATATTTTTCACATAGCATGTACCATTTTTATAGTGACAAAAAAAGAAAAGAAACATGCCTTTTAAAACAAACAAACAAACAAACCAAGAAAAGGTAGTCCTCCATTTCCTCCAAGCTTGGAGAAGCTTGGTGGAAAGAAATACAAAGATACTCTGAGAAGAACACACCTTGAACTCAAAGCCCCACAGAAGACAACATGTCACAATGCTAAACTACAATTCATAGTGAAAGAACAATCCATGAGTAAGAATCATCAAACACAAGAATGGATTAGACATGCCCTCCCCAAAACTTCATATACTACAGTACTAGATAGTACCTGATTTTAAAAAAATGTTAAAAATACTCACACACGCACGCACGCACACGCACGCACAAACACACACGAAAATGCAAAGACAGCACCATTAAAACAAAAAACAACAACAAAAAAGAAAGATCTGGAATAGAGCATCAGAAGAATTATGGCCATCCTTTCTTACTGTAAACAAGTTCCTAGAAAACCAGACAAAATATATGAGAGAACTGTTTTCAGACAGTGGACAACTAGCTATACAGGAATGTGACCCTTGAGAGAAGATATTCAAATGCGGCAGTTTCCAGATTGCTGTGCATGTTAGAGGAACCTAAAGAGAATATGGCAGCTTTGCTGAGTTGAGGAGACAGAGATCAAAATTCAGGGTGGCCAATGCAGCACAAATTTGTTGAGAACAGTAATGTAAAGGAAAAAGATCCAAAGAGAGAGAAAGAGAGAAAAATATCTGCAGAGGGATCCCTTAAAATTTCTGGCTGAGTACTGATCCAGAGAGAAACCCCACGAGGCTATGAAAGAACCATGAGAAAGCAGTGCATGAACACATGCCAGAGTTAGGAATAGTTCACATTCTCACCAGACAGAGTGAAGAGATCTCACATTAAACAAAGAGATCTCACACTGGATGGTAGTAGGGCTAAATTATATACCAGTCCTAGGGTAAAAGCTGATCTGAAGACACTAACAAAGCAAATACAGGCGTATCTTGGAGACACTGTGGGTTTGGTTCCAGACCACAGCAATAAAGTGAGCCACATGAATTTTTTGGTTTCCAATGCATATAATAGTTATATTTACATTATATTGTAGTCTATTAAGTGCACAATAATATTGTCTAGAAAAATAATGTACATACTTTAATTAAAAAACACTTCATTGCTAAAAAATGCTAACCATCTGAGCCCTTCAGCAAGTTGCAGTAGTTAACACAAAGATCACAGATCAGAGATCACCATAACAAATTATAAACCCAAAAACCAAACAGAAAAAAATGTCCATTTTAACTTCACCAGTCAGCAAAAATTTATCTTTTGAAAATGAAAGCAAGGAGGTGTGGTTATAGCTCATGGTAGAGCACATGCTTAGCAAGCATGAGGTCCCATGTTCAATCCCCAGTACATCCATTAAAAATACTACTAATAATAATTTTAAAATTTTAAAAAAGAAAATGAAAGCAAAATAAAAGATTTTTTTCACGCAAACAAAACCTGAGTGAAAATTCATCGCCAGTATACCTACATTAAAAGAAATGTTAAAAAAAAAGACAAGTATGAGAAATATACGGGTAAATATAGAAGATACAGTTTTCATTTTTAAATCTATTTAATGAGAGATTGTTGAGGACGCCCACTGTGGCCAAGACTGAGTAAAAGGAGCCAGATTTACTCTCCTTTCTGAAACAACTTAAAAACCCCAACATAAAACAATAGTTTTCAAGATACCAGATATTAGGTAATAAAGAATAGTGACCTTTAGAGATGGAAAATAAACAAGGTGAGATATTGCCTTGAGAGTTTCCAGCCTGTGGCACCAGGAATACAAAACTGAAACAGAGCCCAGTGGATGCGTGGAGTTGAAGAGTTGGAGCTGAGAGACCAAGGAGACCAAGGCAGTTTATAGGACAATACCAGAGAGGAGAGAACCGTACAGGGAGAGAATCCAGAGAGCTGCAGGAATACCACTCTATTCAGCAGAGTACTGATCTGAGCATGACTGTGAGAAAATTATTTGAGGGCAGAAAAAGCCATCAAAAAAGATTACAGAAGTGGGGTGGAGGGTATAGCTCAGTGGTAGAATGCCTGCTTGGCGTGCATGAGGTCCTGGGTTCAATCCCCAGTGACTCTGTTAAAGGGGAAAAATTTTAAAAAAGAAAAAGAAAAAGAAAAAAAAGATTAGAGAAAAGTTCCTAACACTCACAAGGGCCAGGATGTTCTCACCATCCAGTCTGGAAAAACCCATCATTCACAGGGCATTGGGTAGAATACCAAAGAAGGTTTTGTCTAAGTAGTACAGAATAATTAGCCCTAGCTAGCCTCAGCACTGCTCTGGATCCTCCTAATATAATATAAAAACAACATCCAAAACAATGAAACTGTTTAAAAGTAAGTTAATTAATCCCAGAACAAAGTTCAAGAATACTTTATAGAAAAACGTAAGTATCCAGCACTCAACAACGTAAAATTTTCACAATGTCTGACATCTAATCAATAACTACCAGGAATGCAAAGTGGCAGGAAAACAACTCAAAATGAGGGAAATTATCAGTCATTTGAAATTGACCCAGAACTGACACAGATGTTAGAATTAGCAGAGAAGGACAGTAAATCAGTTGTTATAAATATATTCCATATGTTCCAAATGTTAAGTAAAAATATGGAAGATAGAACAAAGAAAATTAAAAGAGCACCAAAAAGTTGTGAATTTCAAGCAGCTCAATATATGAGAAATTGGAGTCTCCAAAGGACTCCAATAGTCTGGGGCAGGGAGAGTGCAAAACACTTGTTTTTTTGAAGAAACAATGGCCAAAGACTTTTCTAACTTGGAAACAATGAACAAGGGAGGCTTAATGAATCCCAAGTACAGGAAATATGAAGTGAATTACATCAAAACACATCATAATCAAATTATTTGGAAATGCTAATCTTACTTAAATCTTAAAAACAGCCAGAGGAAAAATCATGTACATACAGGGGAATAAAGATAATGATGACATCAGATTTCTCACTGGAAAGATGCAGGTCAGAAAAAAGGTGATCAACATCTTCAAAGTACTGAACTACAACCTAAAATTCTACACCTGGCAAAAACATCTTTCAAAAATGAAGGTTAATAAACAAGATTATATGGTATAGCACAGGGAAATATATACAAGATCTTGTGGTAGCTCACAGCAGAAGAAAAAATGTGATAATGAGTATATATATGTTCATGTATAACTGAAAAATTGTGCTTTACAGTGGAACTTGACACAACATTGTAAAATGACTATAATTCAATAAAAAATGTTTAAAAAAATGAAGGTTAAATAAATAAAGATGTTTGTAGACATATAAAAGCTGAAGAATTCATCAGCAGCAGACCCACACTATGAGATATGTTAAAGGATGTTTTTTAGACAGAAAGAAAATGATAGCAGATGGAAATCTAGATCTAAACAAAGGAAAGAAGAGCATTAGAAATAGTAACTATTTGGGTAAACATATAAGTATTAACAATTATTTAAATCTCCTTATAAGATAATTGGCATTTAATAAAAACCAATGTTTGTGTGGCTTATAATGTATATAAAAGTAAAATGCATAACAATGGGATAAAGAAAAGAAGAGCAGAAATGGAAATCTATGATTGTAAGGTACCTATACTATATATGATATTATGCAAAATCACTTAAAAGTAGATTATGATTAAAGATGTATACTATAAACCTACAACAATAATTAACGTAACAATCAGAGCAACAGCTAATAAACCAAGAAAGGAGATCAAATGGAATCATTAAAAAATATTCAATTAAACCAAAAAAAGGCAGAAAAAGAAGGAAAAAAACAAAAAACAGGTGGGACAAACAGAAAACAAATACCAACTTGATAAACTCAAATCTAACCATATCAATAATTACATTAAATGTAAATAATTCAAAAGCCCAAATAAAAAGAAGATTCTCAGACTGGTTAAAAAAGCAGGATACAAAGTATACGCTGTCTACAAGAAACATACTTTAAATATAATGACAAATATAGGGTTAAAAGTAAAAGATAGAAAAAGATAAACCATGTTAACATTGGTCAATAGAAAGCTGGAATTGCTATATTAAGGAGACAAAGGAGATTTCAAAGTAAAGAATATTACCAGGGATAAAGAAGGTCATCCCTTAATGATAAGGGGTCAATTAATCAAGAGGGTATAACAATTCTGTTTATAAACCTAATAACAGAGTTTCAAAATACAGGAAGCAAAAATAGAACAGGATAACTGCTAGAACAAGTAGGCAGAAAATCAGTAAGTCTATGGTAGACTTGAATAGTATCAACCAACTTGACCCGACTGACATTTATAGAACACTCCATCTAACAACAGCAAAATATATGTTCTTCTCAAGTGCTCATGGAACATTTACCAGGACAGACCATATCCTGGGCCACACACAAGTCTCAATAAATTCAAAAGGACTCAAACAAAACAAAGTATGTTTGCTGACCACAAAAAATTCAACGAGAATCAGTATCTCAAAATAAATTATTGAAAAAAATTCAATCACAAAGTAATGGAGAAAGATATGGAAAGAAGTGTATCAGGTTGTATTAACATTAATTATCTCATGGAGATGGAAATGAAGGAAGGTTGGGGACAAAGTCTTAAGCTTTTAAAATACATTTTTGTACGATTTCACTAGTTATAATAAACACATATTCTTTATGGAAAAAAATTTTAAAGCATTTTTAAAACCCTGTGAGATCTCTCTGAATATTTAAAATACATTTCCTTTTTCCTCTTACACTGACTTGAGCCAATTTCTGTATATATAATCCTCTGAACCCTGAATAAAATAATCAAATACTATAATTTACTTAATACTTCTTTATTACTGGGCATTTAGGTCATTTTATATTTTCTGCTTTATATAACTAAAGCTATAGTGAATAGATAGTCCTTAAATGCCAACCCTTAGCTTATCCAAAAATCCATCTCTCATACTCTAATATCTACAAAACAAACACTAATCTACATTTTTTTTTTTTTTTTTTACTTATTAACCTGTGCCTCCTGTGATCTAATTCCTTAAGAGCAGAAGTCTGCTCTAAAATGGTTTTTACCATATGGGAAATCTGCCTGTTGCAGTGATTAAAGATGATTAAAACATCTGACCCTTCATCTTTGAAGGCTCACTTTAACATATATCCACTATAGATTTACAGAATATCTGATTTGTTAAGCAGTCATTTAAGCAGTAATGCTTAATTATCAAACATAGAATCCAAGAACACTTGTTAGAGACATTTTTAACGAGATCATCTTTTCTGATTATAAAAATAAATACGCTCACAGTGAAGCTCTGTATTATACCAAAAAAAATAAAGAAAAGTATGTAATTTATATTTTTCCTTTTAGTGTGGTGAAAATCTTTTTTTTTAAATCTTTTTTGTTTTTTTGGTGGGGAGAGGGATGGTAATTAGGTTTATTTATTTGTTTACTAATGGAATGACTAGGGATTGAACCCAGGACCTCATGCATGCCAAACAGTAACACTCTACCACTGAGCTATACCCTCCCCTCCCCATGAAAATCTTACTATGTATAGTTCCGTTGCCTGCCTTTTTTCACCCAGTTATACTATATATATTTTCTAATATCATTAAGTGTTTATGAACAGAGTAGCATCTTTCTATGTATTATATCAGACGGAAGATAATTACAGCTTGAAATTAGCAGGAAATGCTTATATCTTACCAAAAGTCCTAAGACTTTCTGTTGAATGGATGACTCAGTTGGGAATGACTGTAAAAAAGAAAGAGAAACCTATTAGTAAAGAACCAAATATAATAAATAAGTGCTTAAATCAATGAATAAATGAATGTCAAAACTGTAGGCTAAATTCCCATTCTAACCTCTAGAACCCTCATGAAGAGTTCTAACCCTTGGTTTTCAATAAAGTGTCTGCAAGTGGTTGGAGATTCATCTGTGAGGTTCCAAAGTGCACTCAAAGTAAACTTCAAAGTAGTGTCCACTGAATTTTGATTGGTTTTCTGCTTCACTATTTGAAGAAGTTGCTGAAAGAAGGAAAATAGAATTAATTTCTAATTACTGAATTGTTATAATTAGTGATAATAACATGGACTAACAAGTCCATGAGGATTAGTTACATGGCTTAAAATATTTCCCATCAAGGTTTTTATAAGTACAGCAAACAGCCTCTTGGATCAGACTTTTCCTTCAACAAGAGAAAAATAGAGGATTTTCACAAATACTTCTATATTATTCTTTTCATACCTATAGTCTAATTGCCTATAAATAAAATGGAAAACAAAATGATTAAAGCTTAGGACCCAATGGGTCATAACATACACTCATTTCAGATTCTGGGGTAAAAAAGGTACAGGGAGTGAAGGGAATGAACCTAACATTTACTAAATATCAGCAAATTATATATCCTATATTGTAATATTGTTATTCCCATTTGTCAGGAGAAGAAATTGAGTCTGAGAAATATTAAGTAATTTGATCATAGTCAACTTAGTAAGAGAAAATAAGAGCTGGAAGAACTAATTCTCTCTACCTCCAAGTTTTCCTTAAGAAAAAAAAGAAAAAACAAACTACGTACAATATTAAGAGAATTAAGTCTAAATTGGATTTAAGTAAGATAATAGTTTTGAAATTCCGTGTGTAAATTATTTCTATCATAGCTTTAATTTAAGAAATTTAATTTTGAAAGATAAATGTTTTAAGACCTACATAAGGCATCCATAATTCCACTTTTAGATTACACTTTTGGGGATAAAACGAAGCTCTGTTAAAACAGATACAAGTAACATTAATGAACACTATTACTTAAAGTTACATATAATTCAGGAAAAATTTTTTTAAGAAACAAACATCTAGTTGCAATTATGTAATTTAATAGCAACAGTGGCTAGGAGTGTGGCACTAGAATAAGGCTACCTAAGCTTAAATTAATTGCTGCATCTGACTGTGTAAACTTATTTGCAAATTTAATTCTATGTTTTCTCATCTGTAAATTATAGGTGATAAGAGCTTGAAAAAGAAAAAGACAGCTAGCGTCATCATCACCAGTACTATTAACTCTTGCTAATTCCTACTTACACTAAACTTAATTTTCCCCCAAAGCGTACGAGTGAACTACTTCCTTAAAATCTTTGAATATATCTCAAGTCAAAATTACTGAAACACATATACAGCAACAAAAAGCCATATTTAAAACTAAAATGTCATCCCTGAAAATAGCAAAAATAAAATCAGCATCCTTTTTTACTCATCTGACATATGTATTTATTTTGTGCTTTGTACTTAGCATATTCCTTTAATTAATCTTTCTTTCCTTTTCATTTAATCTTCATAATAACTGTATAAAGCATTTTTTATCCATCCTAAGAAAACTTATGTGACTTGCCTCAAATCACATAGCTAGTAAGTGACAGAATTGGGAACAAGCCCAGATGTACTGACTGCAGAATTTCTACTCCTTCCTTTATACCATTGTAGCCTTTTCCTCTTTGTACATTATCCCTATTATTGCGCTTATTAGACAGTATTACAACCAGGTCTATATAGTTATTTTCTCTATTTATACTGTGAATTTCTTATGGGCAGGAATTATAGACATAATTCAGTATAGATCCTTAACATCTATTAAGGTGGTAGGTACCTGATGAGTATTCTACACATATTTATCAAATATAATATAACATCAAGTATGAAATTTACTTTCTCATTACAAACATAATCTGTTACAGAAAAAGGAAGTCTCTCATTTGACTTTTTCATCTACTATTATTGTTCAAACATCTCATGCCAGGATTGTGACAAGAAGCCCCTGAGTGGACTTTTTGCTTCCAGTCCTCCCTAAGGCATGGTTTAAACTTATTCTCTTTAAAGCTTTTTAACTTTTCACTATTCACTTTATTATTTCCTCAACTGAAGTAAGTAGTATCTTGTATCAGCTATTTACATTATCTTCTTTCCTAAAGCATCTAGCATAATCTTATGCCTATAATAGAGTCTCTATAATTTCTTCATAAATAACAAAACCACAGAATTTAAGAACTAAGTAGAATCTGAAGGTATATTTAGGCCCCAATGGCCCAGGTAATTTATCTAAATTCACAAAGTGAGTTTACAAATCAGATCCCAGGTCATCTGACTCCTAGTTCAGAACTCTTTCCATCCCTATTAAGGAATAAAGCTGCCTCAGTGAAGAGAAATGAAGAAACTCATTTAGAAGTAACAAAAATAACCTTTTAAAATATAAAATGTTGGAAGATACACAACATTGCCTGAAAACAATGAAAATGAAAACTACTTAGGGGTCTGCATAGACTTACCCTGACAATGAAGAGCTCAGCACCAAGCTGTGCGGTTTGTTCTGTAGAAAGCTGCAAGCAAGCAGAAGACAAAGCATATGTCCAAGAATTCACTAGTATCAGTTTAATATTATTCACTGTAACAGACTCCAAAGGTCAGACGAAAATCTCCAGTCAACCTGAATACCGAATGCAGCTTGAATTAAGTATATTGGCAGTGAGGTTTACTAACTTACTGGCACAGAGACTTTGGGAAAAACAGTAACTGTCATGCGAAACAGCTTTCTACAGAAAATTATTCAACAAGAGTTTAGGTACCTTGGCAGCCAGGATGGAAATGATTGCAACTGCCATCCTCTGCATGTTTTGATCTTCATGGTTGCAGAGCCACTGCATGACAAGCTTGGCTGCTTCAAACCTGAAAATACACAAGAGTTTCATGAATTAATCCTGGAGGCCCAGGCATAGTTTCAGAGCTCCTGCTGGGAAGTGATGCTACAATTTAGACAGGTGAGAAGGAAAGGGAAAATTCCTCTTAACTGATAGAGAATAACAAGTATACTTAGTGATCTGGAGGTGGTACCTCATCATTAATTCTGACAATACTTTGTAAAGAAGCAAGAGTTTGGAAAATATGGTCAAAACTATCTGGGACTAGAATTATAATGTCTCTCTATTCTGTAGTGATTTCTATACTATACTAATAACTTTAAATACTTTCTGGGTTCCTTCCAGTACCCAGCACAATGGGAACATCATTCATTCATTCACAAACATTTATTGAGCCCCTGCTTTATGCCAGATATTGTTCTTGATGTTGGAGATAGAGTAGTAAACAAAACAAGAAAATATCTCCACTTTCATAGAGCTTACAGTATAGTGGGGAAGACAGGTAATTAATCAAATAAATAAGTGAAATACATGGTATATTTAGGTACTGACTTATGCTATGGGGGAAAAAATACAGCAGGAAAAGAAAGGATATGAAATGTTGAAACTTTACTAGTCCCCAAACGTGTCCACAATTATAAGGTAATATAGGTGGTAGTTAAGAGCAGATTCTGACATTCTTTGAATTTTGAGGTTGAATTCTTGTTCTACCTAATGTTAATATTAAAATATATTATTTTATCATGTGAGGCAATCAGTCAAGTCATTAAGAATATCATACACTTTGCAGCCAGCCTGGATTCAAATATCACCTTCACCACTGACTAACTTTGGGATCCTGGGCAACTTCCTTAATGTCTCTGAAATTCAACTTTCTTGTCTATAAAATAGTAAGATCTACTCCATAGGATTGCTGTGACGATTATATGACATCACCCATAAAGTTTAAGATTTAGTATAGAACTTGGCATATACCAAGCTTTTGATAAGGGTTAACTTTTACAAGTATTCACTTCCACTGTACCTTTATTTGTGCAGTTCCCACAACACAAAACAATCAACTCAACCAGCTCACATTTTCAAAGCAATATAGTATGGATATAAAAAGTAGAAGCTCTGGAGTCAGTCTGGATTTAAATCTAAATTCTGCTACTTACTATCTTATCACCTTGAGCAAGTTACTAAACTTCTCTGTGCCTCTGTTTCCTCATCTGTAAAATGAAGATTACAAGAGTAACAATTTCACAGGACTGCTGTAAGGACTGAATAAGCATACGTAAAACACTCAGCAAGTGCCTGGTAAGTGCTTCATACATCAGTGGTTATCTTTATTATCTCACATGCCATCACTAACATGAAATCCTTAATGATCACCAATCAAATGGAATCCTTCCCTCATTTGGGGGTCCAATACATTCTGTCATTCTTTTCTACAAAAAATTGTCTTCTATCATACTCATTCATTCATTCATCCATCCATTCACTAAACATCCACTTAAGCACCAAGTACGAGAGGCAAAGATTAACCAATCACAGTCTTTGACCACAAAGAAGCTCAATTCTAGCAGAGCACACTGGCTATATCAAAGGTAGGCAAATTATAGCCTACCTAGAGTGATTTTACAGCTGTGGGCCCAGCTGTCTGTTTTCTAAAGTTCTGCTGTAACATAGTTATTCCCATTTGCTTATAAATTACTGTCTATAGCCACTCTGGAGGTACAAAGGCACAGTTAAGTAGTTGCAAGCTTAAAATATTATCCAGTCCTTTAAGAAAAAGTTTCCCAACCCTGGGTTAGTTTACAGTCTTCTTTAGGAGATTATGTCTTTCCTATCTATGACTTCATGTGATCAATACACATGCTCAATATATTTATAAAATGAAATTAGTAATCTACATGAAATATATATAGTTATGTTTTTATCTAAACTATTTATTTCAAATAGTAGATGGAACACCTCATTCCTCAGCCATGCCAGATAACAGTGTACTGTTACCCAAATAAAAGTACATCACAGTAAAACTGCTGTTGAGAAATGTACTTTTCATTAAATCATAAAGTATTAATTTCTTTTTCAAAATACCATCACTAAAAAATTGTATTTTACAATAGTAAAATGAAAAAAAGTCATCTTTCTAGCTCCCAAATCACATCTTAGAAAGAAGAGAAACTTTAATACTGACTGGAATCCATCTATATAGTCTCCCTTAACCTCTGCTTAAAAAGTTTCTTCTATAATTCAATATTATATAACAATAAGAGGTATGACACAAAGAACACTGGACCTAGAACTAGAGGACTTGAGTCTTTCTACCCTTACAGTTACTAGTCATAAAACCATGGCAAGACACTGAATTTCTATATGCCTGTTTCCTCAGTCCACAATATTGTGTGGATATTCTGAAAACTATAATCAGTATAACTTCTTAAGCAAAGGCCTATGAAAACAGGGGCCAGTCAGCTATCTTGAAGGTTAAAGCACTGAATTAGAGAAAGAAGACTTAGCATTCTATAAGGCAACGCACAATCCCACCCACTGATTAACTGTACATCAGGAATATCCTAACTGGTAAGAAATAAACAAAATCAGACTTCTAAAATTCCATTTTGCCCCATTTAAGTTCTAGTGCTATCACTTGCCTGTTAAATGGAACATCTTGAAGAATCCGGTCACTGCAAAGTGAAAGGAGGCAATTCTTCTGTAACTAAAGAATCATAAAGAGAAAAAAAAATCCTGAATAAAATATTGTTATGTTATTTTTCAAACAGGAGCACCCTCTATAAAAAAAGAAGATGGATGAAACACCACTCATTTCTTACAATCTTTATTCTGTCCATCTACCATTCAAAGACTGACTTCAGCTGGACCCATGTAAGTTTACTTGCACAATTTTTTTTTGTCTTTTCCATTAGATGAGAAATAGGATAACTCCAGCTTATATCCATCCCTTCTGGTGGCCTCTGGGTGGGTCCTGCTTTGTTTTCTGTCCACCTGGCTTCCAGAGTCCATGAAAACCAAAGCCTGAAGTTCATCTAGTTTGGCAACTGCCCTCAATGAGGGAAGCTGGCTTTAACGACCCACTCACCAATCTGGGTTGTCATTTTTACTTGATTTGGGCCTCTGAACATTTTTTACTAATTTGCCAACTCACAGTTAAGTTTTAAGAGTTAAACATATATTTCAAGCACCATTTTTAGTTTGCATCCTGAGGACAGGACATGTTTTGTAGTCTACTTATACTGCTAACAATAGAAAATCCATGTCTTACTCACTTCTTTTTGTTTTGTTTTGTTTTGGGGGGGAGGTAATTAGGTTTATTTATTACTTTTTTTAAATGGAGGTACTGGGGACTGAACCCAGGATCTTGTGCATGCAAGACATGCACTCTACAACTGAGCTATGCCCTCCCCCTATGTCTTACTCACTTTTTTATACTATTACTTGAATACTGAGCCAGTGCTTGGCTCAGAGCAGAAGCTCTATACCTAGACCTGTTTGCTAAAATTACCACAAACTCAAGGTCTAGATGCAAGACGGGATTTGTATGGCTTACATTCTTTCCCACAATGTTGCATTTAAATATTTTTAGGAAAGGAATGCATCCTTTAGTTTTCTATTTCTCTACTGTCTTACCCTCAGTCATACCACAAATTTATTACTTTATAGCCTCCAAAGGTATTTGAATTTTCCAGACTTGGTCCACTAAAATGAACTGTATGAAGGTGGGAGATGGGTAGGAGACACTAAAAGGACTATTTGAATGGGAATTCCCATATGCTTACCTGCTGGTGATTGGGAAAATGCTCCATGGCCTTGAGCAGCAAATGGGTCACATCAGCCAGGAGTCGGACAGGCATTCCTGCAGCAAGATCCTGCTTGGTTAAGTTAAACACACAGGCACTTGCAGCAAGTTGCACTGGCAAATTCATAGGGTGGTTTCTCATCCCAGTAACCACAAGCTGGGAATAAAAAATTAGTTCTCTTAATCCAACTTATAAATATAAGCCCTCTTCATACAGCAACATTACTTTGTTAATCTATAATAATTTCTAAAATGTCTTAAGTATCTTTTTTATTCTCCTGTGCAAAGAGCCTAGGACATAGCAGTTACTCACCAATACTTAGTTCCTACCCACTTGGTCAAGGTAGGTATCAAGTTGTTCATGTCCAGAGATTTTTCTGTAAGGCTAATGAATCTCTTCTATTCAGGGAAAACATCTTTGTATTTCAAGACCTACTTCAGTGCTTGTTATATGCTAAGTACTAAATAAAGTCTTACTGACTTGAATAGAGTAAGCCAGTAACAAATTTCACTTTCAAATCCCAACATTCAGTTCCTTGAGAACACTGCTAAAGTTAGTGTACAATAAAACTCATTCACTTCCTTCTGGTCTAGATAACTATCTCTCACCTTTTCCTCTCTCCTCAAATCCCCAACAAATCCTCCCTAATCTTTATTATTGGCTGGAGACCTTGCTTCCAAATACCCTGAGAAAGCTGAAGCAATCATAAAAGAGCTTCAGATTCTTGCTACCAGATGTACCCCTTACCAGCATACACATGTGCATATGGTGTCTTCCTTTGGGGCTCTTCTCTAAAAGAAATCCCTCCACTTATATGCTAGATTCTTTCCTTCTTGTCTGCTCAAGGCCACTGTTTCAGCTATTCTCCCCTCACTCCTACACCAATTTTTTTATCCTGTACTGGATCATTCATATCAGCATATAAACAAGCTTTTTTTTCTCTCATCAAAAAACAAAAACAGAAACAAAACCCCACATACTTCCTCAGTCAACTACCACTTTTTTTCCTGCTCCCCTTTGCAGCAAAAACTCCTTAAAAGAATTGCATTTCTCTCTGCATCAGTCTCTGAATGAATGAATGAATGAACAAGTGAATATTTCAGATCAGGACTAGAGGTCTAGTCCTCTGTAACTCAGGTTCACAGTAACCAAAACCAAAAAAAGGTATCGCATGTACCAAGTGCCAATATCCTCTGGTATGTATGGATGGAGTGACAGATACTACAGACAACATCCTAGGACTTAAATGTTACTAGTTCCTATCCAAACACCCTGTTCTCAAAATTTAAGACAGCCAAGAGGTTAAGTAATTTCTGGCTCTGCCACTAATTTATAGTTACTCAATCTCATAGACCCTCAGGTACATAGTCTGTAAAACAGAAGACAAATCTTCTCTCTTGGGATTGCTATGACCACTAAATGAGGTATCAAAGATAACACAGTCCTATACTCCTTGGTTTCAAAACTGAATGTGCATAAGGATTACCTTGGGAGTTTATTAAAATGCAAATTCCTGTACCTTATCCAGCCCTACTGAATCTAAGTTTCTTGGGAGTGAGGTTCACAAATATGCTTTTTATAATAAGCAATATCCCAGACTACTGGTGGACAGAGGACCACATTCTGAACAGTGGTCTAAGCAATCAACAAAATTAAGAACCTTCCTTTTTCGCCCTTCAAAAGCTGTCTTGGTTAAAGTATCTTAATTAGAGAATAATGCAGATTAGTTACAAAAGTATAGAAGGTTCATAAACGGCATGGAAAAATGCCTTGTAAAATTCCAATACTGTATTTCTAGAAAAAGCCTATATGGAAGCAATATGGGGCTAATACACAAAGCAATGTCCTAATTCCTATCATATATTCCATTTTCTACTACAGCTGGTGAAAAAATATCACATTGATCACTGGTTTTAGGTGGTAAATATGAACTGGAAGGCAATTATATTGCTTAATGAGACTAATATAAAACTTCAATAACACTGTGGAACTAACTCCTCTCTTTCTCATTTATGGCTAATAACTGAAAACACACATCAATTCCATTACAAAAAAATTCAAAGACTAAATGAAAATTTTCTCTAATTTTCTTCACAAAACCATCAACTATTCAGGAAGATAACTTCAAAATTTTCATATCCAGTTTCTTATTCTTACCTTTAAAATTTCTGGCTTTGTTTTTTCCATCACATGAGTCAGGCTAAAAAGGTGAAAGAGAGCTTCTCGGACAAAGAATGCCCGTTCACTGTATCGCTTCAATGCTTCTGCAATCTGCGTTTCATTGGCTTCCCCAGACACCTTTGAACATAGCCAGAAAATTAGCTTTTAGAATTCTTTTCAACTCTCTAACTTTCTCTATTCAAGCATCATTTGTATAGATGGCATCCAAGGTAGCTATGTAAGACCTGAAATAAATGGGAATGATTATTTTCCAACCCATCCAGAGGAGTCACCCTATGGAGGTGTACATGTGCTAAAGAGATGTATATTAGATAGGCTCAGATCCTACTATAAGCCTATGGGTCAAATTTTCTATACTGTACCTAAAATAAATCTCAAGATATTTAACACTATTTATAAGGTCTTACTATGTGATTAGGCTCCTACTTGCCTCGTAAGGTAACCCTCTATCCTAAGTCACAATGTGTTAGCTACACTAGACTTTTTTCCTAATCTTTCAATAAATCAAGCTCTTTCTCAGGTAAAGGCTATTATACATAATATCCTCTCTGACTGAAATCCTCCTCTCTTTCTCTGCCTAATTTCTATTCATCCTTCCAATTCAAGTTAAATGACACTTTTCAGAGAGGACTTCTCTGACTCACCAATCTAAATCAGGTCTCCCTGAAACATCTTCATAGCTGTTATCATAATCCCCCTAGTAGACTGGCCTATTCACCACTGTACCCCAACAGATAGCATTATGTGTGGCTCAGATAAGCACTCAATAAATATTCATCAAAAAATGTATTAATTAACTTCTCCAGATTAATTAAGCTCCCATTAAGCATTAAGAGGTTCATTTCAAATTACGTCTATCTTAAACTGTGGTTCATGTACCACTGGGTAACCAAATGTATATAACAGGAAGTGGCTCTTTAGAAAAGCAATTCAACTAGTAATTAAAATAGAAATTATTAGACTATCACCATGATCCCCAATGAGTTAATGGAACTAGGTGTTGAATGTTAACAACTGCTAAAAATCACAGAAAGAAAGCAACCAGATATTACATATTTCCTTAATGAAAGAGCATAACACCTAAGGGTCCTGTCCAAGGGACCAAACATGAGTTTGATTAAGTCTCCAAATCTAGCTACCAACTTGTAGAAAATACAGAGTCAGAGAGATATACAACACAAGAATACAATCAAGAAAATTCATATTGAGGGAAACTCTACAAGTCAAAGGACTGGATTCTTTAACATACAAATTATAAGGAAAGAAAGGGATGGAGAGGGCCTTATAAATTAAAAGATACTCAAAATACATATACTTTTGGAAAATGGACAAGATTAATTAAGTCCCTAAAGATAAACAGTTGGGTCATAAAACTATTTAAAAGAGCAAGGACCTGATTATCATTAAAGTCAGGACAGAGATTAGTTTCGTGGGGAAGGAGGGAGTTCTTCTCAGGATGAAGCATATGGAAGAGCTTCAGGATAGCTGACAAAGTTCAGTTTATTAACCTGAGTGATGGTTTCAAGTGTGTTCACCTTATTTTCACTCATAAAGCCATATGCTTAGTATTTATGGTTTTTGTATCTGTCTTATTTTACAATAAGTTTAAAAAAAAACCCACCAACCCTGCTGTTCAGAGTGATATAATCTTTTCATTAAGTTGGAAGACTGTCTTTTCTGGCAGTAACATTATAAAAGGTAACACAGAAATAAACACTGAAAAAATACATTATTCAAAGGGAGAGGGTACAGCTCAGTGGTAGAGTGCATGCTTAGCATGCACGAGGTCCTGGGTTCAATCCCCAGTACCTCCATTAAATTTTTTTAAAAAGTTACTCAGTAACTAGGTTTTATCTGAACACATAGTATTCAGGTGAGAATATGCAGCTTTGAGGAAATGAAGGGCTGCATCACAAATGACATTTCAACCACTGACAGAATGTGCTACAAAGGTCTAATAGGAATTAGACTACAGTATAGGTATGTACAAATGACACAAAGCACATAGTGAACATCTGTAATATTATAGAAATAACAATGCAAGTTTGTTTACAAAATGCTTTTTAAATTATTTATGTATAATATACATACATAAACATTGGTCTTGACTATGTATTCACATATATAAGGAGTTGCTGAATAATAGAAATTTTCCAAGTGTTTAGTTTTTTTTGAATCACCCTGAACTTTTTCTTTGATTTTCTTGTATTTGGAAAGACACTGAAATATTATATGAAACAAAAAAGACTGTAAAAAGGGAAAACAAATAACAATAATCATTGTCTGACTTCATTTATCCACATTTGGCTGCTTCCAAAAGCTTTATAATATCTTACATGAACTATAACCTCAAGGTACCTTTGAATATAAAATTAAAGAACTTTTGTTACTGGAACATAAATATTCTAAACCAAATTTCATTGCCTTTATGTTTTATTCAGTGATCAACACTTCTCTAGCCAGTGATAAACTCTCAAATCAAGCAATCATACTCCTCAAACTATAAGCATCTTTAATTCAATCAATTTCATATGCTAGATCAACGAAACAAAACAAAACAAACGTCTGTATGTACTAGTTTCAGCAAACAATTTAAAAAGAGAAATGTCCTTATTAATTACTAAATTAAGCCTTATTAATACTTAATATATGGAGTAAAACTAAAATTTATGTTCTAAGGAAAACTTTCTTGTAGCACTCAGTATATAACCGTTATAGCATTTCTCACACTGGATTAAAGCTATTTTTAAATTTGTCTCCTCTCCACTAGACTAGAATTCCTTAAGAGCAGAGGCACTAGCTCACACATCTTTAATAAGTACTCAGTAAGTGTTTTTTGAAATGGATCCATTCCTCTGCTTTAAAAAAATTATATGTAACTTCACTGGATGTTGATGACTGCAGTTCAATACAGAATCTTAGTTCAAGGGAGAAGTCTAGGCTGGAGATACAAATTTAGGAGTCATCAGCATATAGGTTTAAGGGCCAAAGTATGGAACACTCCAAATTTGAGGCCTGGGAGACTAAGAAGAACCAATAAAGGAAATTGAGACCGAACAGTCAGAAAAGTAGGGGGGAAAAAAACAAACAAAACAAGACAAGTGTGATATCCTAGAAGCTAAGGTAAAAAAAAAAAAGTACTTCAAAAAGGAGGACAAAATCAACCATGTCAAATGACAGTTTAGATCAAATAAAATGACAACTGAAAACTAATAATGGGTTTAGCACATTTCCAGCAATTCCCAGGAACTGGGAACCACAGCTTGGAAAATAACCCCAGAGTCTGGGAATGAAGTGGCCAAAACACATGAGTCCTAATTGTGGAGAAGTAAAAGTTTCAGGAAACTGATGTTAACAGAAGAGCAAATTTGGTGGGGAAACAGAGATGACAGAGTCAGAAATTCTATGGTAAGAAAACCCTTTGTGTTGGGACTAGAAATTGAGAGGAAAAGAAAAGAACTAGGATACTCAAATAGAGGCAATGAGATATAGTGGAAAGGACACATACTTGGCACAAAGGCAGGCTCATCAGTTGGTTGTGACCCTTAAGAAAGCCATTCCCTCTCAATGAGGACAATACTTCCCTCTCAGAGTCAAGAAATCAAAATAAATGATATATATGAAAGTGCAAAAAACTAACCATTTGTTCTTATAATCACCCACTCAGAGTACTACATCACGCCTCATAAAGAATACTGGGGAGTCACGCTGTTTCTATTTCTGGCATCCTTTAGTGTGGTCTAAAAAACAGAGGCAAATAAAGCCAAAAAACTAACTGAAAGCATCACAATACTAAGACAATCATTTCAGACAAGTTTCTCATCAACTTTGCTAAATCAGACAATTCTAAAAAAGAGATGGAGTAATTTCAGCTCTGTTTCCTTAACGTGACCCATTATTTTTCAGCTCTCAAATTAGTGGTCAAATAATTTAAAAGTAATATCAATTTCTGTATACAGTTGAATAAAGAGCAAAGTTCCAATGATCTCTATTTTTTTATAGTCTTTAAGACAATGATTCTCAACTTTGGCTGCATATTGCAATCAGCCAAGGAGCTTTAAAAAATACAGTTGCCTGGGTCCCTTCTCCCTGTGGTTCTGATTTAATTGCTGAAGCTCTCCAGCTGATTTTTTAAAAATTAAAACAATTTTTCCAGCTTTATCAAGACATATAATTTTATATATATATACATGACCTATGTTTAATGTATAGAACATACTTATTTGATACATGTACATACTGCAAAATGATTACCATGATAAGGTTAGTTAAAACATCCACTATCTCAAATAATTATAGTCCAGGTAATTTTAATTGTAGTCAAGGTTGAGAATCACTGCTTCAGTGTTTACAGAGCTGGAAACTAAATAATTGCAAATAAAGTGAGTGTTTCCTAGAGCCAAGATTTCAAAGTAATAATGGTTCCATTTGTGAAATCTGACATGTTTCACAGAGGCACTGTGGAATATAGATGTCCTACTAGTCCCAGTTTAAAAACCCAGGTTAATTCACTCTAGGGTCTGTCAGTGGTGAGAAGAATCAGCAAAAACTATACTGCTCAGGAATCTCAACTATCAGAGGACTTTTGCCTTGAGAAGGTTATTTAGCATAGTGTACTAGGGATATATTCCTTTCATCCTTCAGGACGTAGGTCAAGCTCACCTCTTCTGGGAAATCCTTCCTAAACTCCCAGCATACAGGGGTTCCTTCCCCTTTGATTTTTACAATTCTTTACTATCTGATCCATTTGTTAGGTAGTTGAGTAACGCTAAAATACTAATTTACATTTTTATGTTTCCTTCACCAACAAGCCCTGTGCTAGAAATCTATCTTGTTCCATAACCAGTAGTTAAGTAAGTTCCTCATACTTCTTGTTGCCCCGCACCTGGCTCATATGACCTTGCCAAGTCTGGCCCTGGTGCCTACTTCTTCAGCCTCATCTCATCACTCTGTGACTTAATACCATGGAGTTCCAGCCACGGTGGCCTTTTTTCAGTTCCTCAGATGTACCATGGTCCTTCCTCCCACACATCTTTTGCATATATTATTCTCTCTGCCTGGAATGTTCTCTACCAAACTACTCATTCAGCAAGTCCTCAGAGAAGCCTTAAACTAAGTCGAGTATCTGTGTTAAACATTCTCAAATATAGTATTGTTTATCTTTTAGATTCCTAGCACTATGCAGTTTAAAGCATATATATGTGTGCATTATATATTATATTACTATATATGTATATGACATATAGAGATACATATACTTAAAGCACACGTGACATTGGATACTTGATTGTCTGAGTCCTTCACTAAATTACAAGCTCCATGAGGGCAAGATCATGCCTATTTGGCCTCACTATCAGGTTCCCCATGTCCAGCACAGTGCATAGTGCGGAAGCACTTGATAAAATATTTATTGAATAAATGAATAAAAAAGAGTGACTCAAAATAACTTTCTACATTCTTTTTTAAGACTAAATTTAGAAAAAAATCTAAATAGTGAAATATTTTAAGATGTTTATGATTAACTTTTCCTTCTCCTTTTTTGAGATCAATTATGCTTTATCAAAAAAGATACCTTGCCATTTTGGTCACAATATTCACTTTTAGGCCATCCCTGACTCCATTCCAGGTAGGATCAAAGAATTCTTCTGTTTAAGTGGTGTAGGTAGTAGGGGGAAAAAAATAGGGCTCTGGCATTAGACAGATGTAGATCCAAATGTTGGTTCTAAACTAATAATAAATCATGTAATTTCTATGAGTCTGTTTCTCATCTATAAAATGGAGTTAATACCTATCTATAGATATTTAACATATGCAATATAAAGTATCTACAGGATATAACGCATGTTAGAAAAATAGCAGTTTTCCTTAAACTTGTCACAATTCTATCATTCAAAGTCTGATTCAGATACTATTTTCCCTCAATCAAGCCCCCCACATTCTCCAGCTAGAAAAAAATTTTCCTGCTCTATTACAGCAACTATACCAAACCTTGGCTTTACAGTTATTTGTGATCATAAAACACTACTCCCATCAGGCTCCTTGGAGGCAGATCCTCTATCTTTTTCATCTTTGAATCCCAGGCTTTACCAAATCCAATAGATGTTTCCCTAACTTAAATCATTAGGCATAAGAAACCTTGAGAAAAGCAAGATTTTACCATTTCTACAATAGAGATCTCCTTGGAGAACTTGATCTCCCATTAGATACTCAATTCAACAAGGAGCATCCTTAGTTTCTTTGAACTAATCCATTAGAAATTCAAGTGGTTCCAAATACCTAAACACTATCATCATGAGAACTACTACATCATGAGAAACACTACATCATGAGGCCTACTATATGACTTGCACTTTGCATAGCCATTCATCTTCAGAAGAATTCTAAAGGTAGGGAATGATATCTATTATATAAATAAAGAAATGAAAATTCAAAAAAGTTACATCAGAGCTTGCTCTGGGTCATGAAGCAAGTAAGCTGGTATCTTAATTAGGACTCTAACTCTAAAGCAAGCCCTTTCCACTACACAATGTCCTGTTTCAAGAACATGCTGCATATATTATTAGACATTCATCTTAAGGAGACTTATACAACTAAAACATTGGTCAGCCTGAAAAAGGAATACATTTTTAAAGTCTAACCTTCAAATGTCCTTCTCCTGTGAGGAATTCAGAGTAGCCAGCATCAGTGGCCAGCAAACCTACAAATTGCATGCTGGGTCGTTGCTGTATAAAGGCTTCAACAGCTTTATCTGTCACATGCTTTCTCCCAGAAACATCCAGGGAGACGAGGTTGGGCAGGATGTCCTTCTGTTCTAGCAAGCGAAGAGCTATGTCTGAGGTAAACTGTTTATCATCTGAAATATCAAGATGATTCAGGTGTTTTAGTTCCCGAACAACATCCAGTATCTGGGTAGTTGTCATTTTTAAACATTTCAAGTGGTGCATGGTTAGAGACTTGAGTCGGTCTTTGCAGGCTAGCAGAGCCGTGATGTCTGTGATCGAGGTGTTAGAAATATCCAGGCTCTCTAATCTTGGCAATGAAGCAACTTCAGCCAGGTCTTCATTATAAAAGAGAACGTTGGTGATGCTTAATGCTCGAAGGCCAGAAAGTCGGCTGAAGCACCGCTCATAAGGATCTTCGAGGGAGAGAGTTAATGAGTTCAGCACTAGGCACTGGAGATTTTGCTGGATCCATTTGTTACTGCCGAGCCCACTGATGATGTCTGTAATCGTGATGTCAGCATTCACACCTGTGGCATCTAGTTCCACTAATTTGTGGTGGCAGAAGGCTTTCCGGAAAGCAACAGCAGAGATCTTGGCTTTGCGAATGCAAGCTCGCTTTAAGCGCATCTGGTTGCCCCTAAAAATACCTACAGTTCCATCATTCAAGAGACCTGGGAAAAAACAAGCAGTACTTTAACTTCAAAAAATGGTTAAAAGGGGAAGGTATAGCTCAAGTGGTAGAGTGCATGCCTCATATGCACAAGGTCCTGGGTTCAATCCCCAGTACCTCCTCTAAAAATAAATAAAGAGATAATCCTAATTCCCTCCCTCCCCCCCAAAAAAATTGGTTAAAGGATCGCTAAAATTTCCAGCACACTTTATGCTTTCAAAGCATTCCCATGTAACATTTCATTTAATAGACATAATTCAGCATGGTAAGAATATTATTATCTATAATTTACAGATGAATAAACTGGAGTTCAAAAAAGTGTCTTTCCAAGATTACAGAGACAGCACAAGGCAGAATCACGTCTGTGGTAGACATTACTGATATTCACTAACATCTGGTTCTCCTCACCTTCCCAGACACATGCACAACTACATTTCCCAGCCTACCCCTGGATTTAGATGGGACTAGCCAATGAGCTGTGTGCTACATCACCTGAGAGCCAGTGCATGATTTCAAGATTTTCCAACGCTATCTTTTCCTGCTGTGACAAAAGTGAGGAGCCTTCAACTTCTAGACAGGGTACCTTTATGTGAGTGAAACCTCTACCAGCCTAGATCCTAGGATGATTATGGAGCAGAACCTTCCATGGACTTGCAGCATTTTTGTGCCACGAGTGAGGTATACACTGTATGTTAAGCTACTGGATCTGGGATTTGTTACCAATCCATTTCTAGCCTATCTAGCCTTTAAGTTCACTATAATAAATTATTATACACAACAACACATAAATACACATACATATATTTAGCATATATATATATCTATAATTCATTATTAAACCACTAGCTAGATCTGAAGCCTTATTAAAAGGATCTAGAGGTTACAGTCCCTCCCCGTCAAATGAATTCAAATAAAGTGGACACATCTGAAGTCCCTTAGAGCTCTACCAGGCCATCAGTTAATTATGCCAGAAGCATATAATGCTTTGGACCCACATCTATTCCAACAATATCACACATCAACCAAACAACATTTACTTTGGAAGAACTAACAGCCATGACAACAAAAAGTAGACTAAGAACAATCTGGGGTGAGTGAACAGTTCAGACCAGGTAAGTAAATGGCCTTGGAGTCAAGAGAACTCTAAATGGCACCTCAGCCGACTCACACTGAATACATATCAGGCTGCCAGCCAGCCACCCTTAAGTAGAACTAAAGTATTTTTTAAATGGAAGCACTGCTTTCTAGTGAATTTTGTAGACTTAATTATTGTTAAAGAGTTAAAAATTAAGAAAAATCTTTACAAAACCTGTCACAATGGACAAAAATGACTTATTATATACTAAGAATTCCATTACTCTAGAACTATGCTGTCTAATATAATAGTCACCCAGTCATGGAGAACTTGAAATGTAGATAGTCCAAACTGATGTATGCTGTTAAGTGTAAAATACTCACCAGATTTTGAAGTTTTAGTACAAAAAAATGTAAAATATCTCAATAGTTTTCTATATTGACTATATATGTTGAAATGATATTTTTAGATATACTGGGTTGAATAAAATTATTAAAATTAGTTTCCTGTTTCTATTTACTTTTTAAATGTGGCCACTAATAAATTTAAAATTACATATGTGGCTCACACTTGTGGTTCATTTCTATTGGGCAGTGCCATTCTAGAGACAGCCTTTTTTTTTTTCCCTCTGTATTTTTTTTGAATTAAAGTACAGTCAGTTGTAATGTATCAATTTCTGGTGTACAGCACAATGTCCCAGTCATGCATATACAAACATATATTCATTTTCATATTCTTTTTCATTAAAGGTTATTGTAAGATATTGAATATAGTTCCCTATGTTATATACATAAGAAATGTTTTTTTAATCTGTTTTTATATATAGTGGCTAACATTTGCAAATCTCAAACTCCCAAATTTATCCCTTCCACCCCCTTTCCCCAGTAACCATAAGATTGTTTACTATATCTGCAAGCCTAGAGATAGTCTTTTAAACTACTCTGTTTCAGGGGAGTAAATTTCACGGTGGGGTTCTGTCCACTGAACAATTATTAAACAACTGCCATATGTCAAACCTTACCAAATGTTGTAGAAACAAAGAAAAATACATCTCTATATTCAAGAATTCAAAATTCCATGGAATGAAGAGGTCTCAAACAATGGTAACAAAATGAGCTACATGGTATACTAGGGCCAAGTATCATGTATCATGAAAGCAAAGAAAAGGAAGTAACATGTCATACCTGGAGACCTGGAAACGAATGCATGGAAGAGATCTCTGAGTAAGTCCTTCAAAGATGAAAAAACTCAAAGATGGAGAATGAAAGTGAGGGGTATTAAAGGAAGAATAAACAGCATAAACAAAGCTTTAGCATACACAATGAATCATTATGTTGTACACTTGAAATTAATATGTTATGTGTCAATTATACCCAATTTTAAAAATGCAAAAAAAACAAAACCCAAACCCAGCCTTAAAGATGTGAACATTCCTCACACAGAAAATGACAAGTCGTTCTATACTGCTAGAATATAAAAAATGGCTAGAGCTATGAGATATTTCCCTGATAAAGAAGGAAGATTACAAGTGAAGACCTAGATATGAGTGAGAACATGGTGCATTTCTGGAGATTTAAGTATGTGGGGAGAGACAAGAAACGAGGCTAGATCACTCTGAAAGGTAAAGAGAGGAAAGTAGACCAGCTAGGGATCTTGGGATACAAAGAACAATGTAGTGGAGTTCCTGGGTTTTTTCCTTGCAGCACGCAACCTAAAGTTGAAGAAGTTGGCAACCCAGAAATACGGTCAAGAACAGTCAAAAAAAGCTTCCCCTCCCCCCAAAAAATCTGCTCACTCTAGCCAAAGTACCAGGATAGGGGTGGCCTAGCAAAGCAGGAAACCCGGACACTTTTAGATAGTAACTACTTTACTTCAGTCAATCACCACAGAAAAAAACTGTGGAGCCACCCTCACCCACACTAGCAAAGGCCAAGAGGGGAACCTAGACTTTCACTCTTGCTGTAACTAGTTGCCCCAATCTCCCCACAGGGAGGTGTTAGAGAAGGCTGAGCAGGGAGCCAGGACTTTCATCTCCATAATGTCAGTCGATATCGTCTGGAGAGTCTGGATTTTCCTGTGCATCTGGCAGTAATGAGATGCTCCTCTCTGTCCCTGCTAGGGTGGTGTCATAGGAAGCCTAGTGGAGAATCAAGACCTTCATCATTGCCCAAGAGTAATGAGGCCACCTCACGCCAACACTGTGTCAGTGGAGGCCAACTGGGAAGAGAAATGAGGTACTCATCCCTACCTCAGCTAGGGAAGTATCAGTAGAGACCTTGTGGGGAACCAGAACTCCAGCTGCTGCACATTGGTAATAAGGAGTCCCAAGTCTTGGGTGTCAAAAGAAGTCAAGTGGGGAACCAGAACATTTACCCCAATCTGACAATAAAAAGGTAGTGCCTCCACCTCCCACTGCTGGAGTGGTGCTGGAGACACAAACTAAAACAGAAGACTCTTATAACACAAAATCCAGAATGCCCAGATTTCAATAAAAATTCACTCATCGTACAAAGGACCAGTAAGATCTCAAACTGAAAAAAAGACAATCTATAGATGTCAATACTGAGATAATAGAAATGTTAAAATTATTCAACAAAGATTTTTAAAGGAGCCATCATAAAAATGCTAAAGTGAGCAATTACAAACATGCTTGAAACAAATGAAAAACAGAAAGCCTCAGGAAAGAAATAGAAGCTATAAAAAAGAGACGAATAGAAATTTTAGAACTGAAAAATACAATAATGGTTAGGCTCAACAACAGAACGGAAGGAACGGAGGAAAGAATCAGTGAACTAAAAGGTAAAACAACAGAAATTACCCAAATCTAAACAACAGGAAAAAAAATGGGCTAGAAGAAACTGAACAGAGCTATTTGTCCCAGAAAGAAGGAGAAAGAGGGGAGAGTTGAAAAAGTATCTGAAGAAATAATGGCTACACCATCAAAGTGACTCAAAGAAAAAACAATAATAACACCAAATGCTGTCAGTGTGCAGAGAAACTGGATCAGTCTTATATTGGCTGGAGTGTAAAATGGCACAGCCACCCTGGAAACAATTTGACAGTTTTTTTAAAACCTAAACATGCAACTACCACATAACTCAGCAATAGCACTGCTGGGTATTTAACCCAGAGAATTAAAACCTATCTTCAGGGAGGGAAGGGTAATAGTTCAGTGGTAGAACACATGCTTAGTATGTACAAGGTCCTCAGTTCAAACTCCAATACCTTCATTAAAAAAAAAAACAAAAAACTTATGTTCACATAAGACCTGTACATGGATGATTACAGCATAATATTCATAATACTAGAGATTATGTTCAAAATAGCTAAAAACTGGAAACAACTGAAATGTCCTTCAGTAGATATGGTTATACAAACTAATGTATTCCACAGCATGGACTACTACTCAGAAATAAAAAGGAATGGAATGATATACACAACAATCTGGATGAATCTCCACAGAATGATGAGTCAAAAAAGCTAATTCCAATGAAATGACAGAATAAATGAAATGTTTCCATTTATATAACAGTCTTGAAACGACAAAATTATAGAAATGGAGGTAGACACAGGAGAGATATAAATGTGGCTATAAAAGGGCAACGTGAGGGATCCTTGTGAAGATGGAAATCCTGACCATATCAATGTTAGTATCCTTGATGAGATAATATACTATGGTTTTGCAAGATACCACCACTGGAGAAAGATGATCTCATCTGTTTTATTCATTACAACTCCATGTGAATCAACATTTTTCTAAAAATAGAAAGTTTAATTAAAGAAAAAGAGATCACTCTCAGGAAAATTTGAAGGTGTGTTGTTGACTCAGAGTTAAGGGAATTCCATCTGATGGCTTCAGTATTATTGCTAAGAGTAAATGGTAAAAAGCCTGAGGAGAGCAAAGAACACATGAAACAATGTTAGGAGCACTGCATAGTTGGTCAGAGAAATACTCAAGAACTCCTGGGCAGTGCTGGGGGCCCCCGTCTTTATATTACCGACTTGCCTCCATCTCTTCATGAAGGTTTAAGCCTAGTAATCACCTCCTTGGAAAAGTTTTCTCTGACCATTCAAGCTAAAGTAGAGGCCTTCCTCTTTTTTTTTTTTAATTTTTTTTTGAGGGAGGCAATTAGGTTTATTCATTTGTCTACTTATTTATTTATTAAATGGAGGTACTGGGAATTAAACCCAAGGCATTATATATGCTAAGGATTCACCCACCGCTGAGCTATACCCTCTATACCCTCCCACCCCGAGGCCTTCCTTTTTCATTCTCCTTTGGAGACCCATGTTCTTTTTCCCTCAGAGAATCTATCACAAGTTGTAATTCTACATATGTTTGTTTGTATCTCAGTTATGTCTCCCGCTGGACTATATGCTCCACAAGAGCAAGATTCATGTTATGCTCAATATTGTGCACTCAACAGCTAACAGTGCCTGGCATGCAACAGATGTTCAATAATTTTCTTCTCTAGAGCATCCTTCTTACACATTTTACTTCTACTGTGCCTCCTGTGGACCCACCAGAAACTCCCTACATTAAGTATCTGCTGTTAAGAACCCTTCTTAAAAAAAAAAAAAAAAAAAAAAAAGAACCCTTCTAAAAACCAAAAATAGAAATAGACTTTGAATTGAGATCAGTATTTTCCTTGTTTATGCCACAAAAATAAATTTAAACATATTTTTAAATGTTAATTTTTTCAGCTGAACCTTCAGACTTCTCAGTTAAGACTGATTTTAATCTTAAAGTGATTATCATACCACCTTATAAAACTTGCTCTCAGATTTTGATATTATATACATGTTTGGTAAAATGATTACTTTTGGCTGCTTTGGGTCAGTCTACATCAAATAAAATTTTCTAATTAAATTTAAGTGTCTACATTTGAGAGTAACAGAATTTAAAAAATAATAAATTAAAAGAAAAGGGCATGAGATCTAGAAACCAGTCCTGTGTTTGAGTCCTGGATCCAACATTTATTCACTAATAGACACTAGACAAATTACTCCACAAGTCTAAGATTCCTTATCTGTATAATGTGAATAATGACTCTCTCTCACAGGAACTGATGTGAAGATTAAATAAGACTATATATATAAAAAGCATTTTGTAAACTGAAAGCACTAAATATCATTAACAATATTTGAAGGAAATTTGCCTAGATTATCTTTCCCTTCTCTCAAAAAAAAACACACTAAAGAATCATATATCTTTTTCCATGACCAACAATACCTGCTACAATGTATTTGAGCTAAATCTTCCTTTGCTGTCATACTATTCACTTGGGTTGTTTGCTGGCAGTCTATCCCCTCAGATGACCAATTTGTAATTTGCTTTGGTCAAAGAACCAAGGTAAATAAAACTGCATACATTTAAGAATCAACATGCTTTAAATGAGGGTTCCTCAAGGGTTTTTTTCCAAGGAGTAAAGTACAGAAGACTAAATGCAAGGATTCTGCCCCAAAACATTTTTTTTAATTTCTTTCTGGTTTAGGCTATAGATAGCTGAAGTGACCAGCAATGTGACCTCCAGGAGTATAAGCCCTCAGTCATCTAGAAAATCTATTTGGCTGTTCGAGGATACAATTCATAATGTCTTGAAAGGTATTAACTCTTTTCAGTTCAATCCCAAGCCAGAGGCTGAACATATCAAGGTATATCAATTTAGATTAGGCAGATGGTATAACACAGAGGCCTTATCATTAGATGGCAAAGTTCTTGTTCTGATTCCTAGCTTTTATACACACATTTCCTGAAAAGTTTCTAGCATTAAGAATGAGCAAAGATTATGACAAGAGAATCACAGAACCCAATAAGTAAAACTCTTTAATATCAGGCTTATTTTAATAAAGACTATTACCAATATCATTAATCCTTTGAACTGGGTAAGTAAGTAAAACATTTGAAATGCAAATAAGTTAAGTACTTTCTAAAGTCATTATGCTATTAGAAAAAATGTATTATCAAATTTAAAAGCATTTATAGAACAACTTTTTTCCCATTCTATTAGGAAAATTTTCAAAAACAGAAAAATTTATCTACCAATTTTTTAAAATAGTGACAAGAAGTGGCAATATGTTTTTTGAATATTATCAGTAGTATCCACTCCTGATTCTTTGAAGTTGGATATGATTTTTACAAAGAGATCAAATAACTCAGAATACTTTTTGGTGAATAAGACAGGTAATCACGTTGGGGTAACACAAATGGGGGTAGTAAGTTGTCTGACTCTCACTTCCCTCATCTGAAGGCAGCTGGGAAAGAAGAAGCAGAAAATACATTTTGATCAAGCATATAGCCTCACCAAGACGCTACTCTGGAGGACAATTATTTAATTACACTTACTTAAAAACTACTTCCATTATTTTATCCATATAAAGTATTTGCCACAGTGCCTGGTACTTCATAAGCATTCAATGTTAGCTGCTATAATTAAATATCAGTAGTTATATTTCAAAAGGAACCTGGCAAACTTAAAATTTCAGTTAACATTTATTCTTTTGATTAACAAGACTATTTATATATACATATTTAAATTAAACATGCTAAGCGTAATCACTAAATTGAGATCAGAAAGAAATGTTAGCACTGGCATAATCTCTTATATTGTTGTGCAGCTTTGTAAGAGACCTCTAACTTTAACATGGATAGTACCTGCTGAAATTTAACCTACTTCCTTTGGCAGGTTGGAAGAATTCAGAGATTACATACTTGACCAACTTAGTGAAAACCAAGGAATGAAAATGTCTTCTTCTTCCCTAAATTATTCCAAAATGCCTGAATTACAGCCTTATTTTTCCCACCCTTGCTTGGAATGCATTATCTGCATCTGTGAGATATATATATATATTATAAAATATATTATATTATATATATGTACACATACATACACACACGTATATAAAATGATACACACTTTTGTTGTGACTTTATATATAATAAATTTATATATTTACATTTTAAAAATATGTTTATAAATATATTTGTTATATATATATTTAAAGTTACAACAAAAGTATATACCATTATCTGGCATCTAGGAGCAGAGATACCTCTAACGTAGGTACATGAAGGTTGTATGGCAGTGAAAAAACATAACTGCATTTGAACTAGGACTCTACCATTTACTAGCAGTGAGACTCTTAACAAGTTACTTCTCTGAACCTCAGTTTCCTTATTGGTATATAAATGGGATAATAATGGCCACTTTATAGGTTTTTGAGAAAATTCAAGAAAAGCATATAAAATGCCTGGCATTATTACATGCAACAGATAATCAATAAATGATAGTTATTATTGCCACATTTTCATTCTATTTTCTAGTTGTGAGCAAACTATATTTCTTACTTGTAAGAGTTGATACGCCTTAATTATATAAAGGTATTATATTTCTTTCAACTTAAAACTTAGACAGAATTAGCGAAAATTCTCAACATACGTAATCAGAATTTCACAGGTAAGTCTTTTTCCAACTTATTTTCAGTATCTGTTTTTAAAAACGGAAGTACTAAATTAGCTCTGATTTCCCATTTCAAAGTTTGGTGTATATTTTATATTTACAGTATATCTCATTTCAGACTAACCACTTTCAAGCACTCGATAGCCATGGATAGCTAGTGACTACCATATTGGGTACTGCACATCAAAAATGTAGGATGTAAGTAATTTCTGTTTTCATCTTTACACTTTTCTGTACATTCAACTTTACAGATAAAAAAAATCAATATTTTAAAATAACTAAATAGAGGCAGGGACAGAGGAAAAAATATATATATAGGTGTTAGAATTAGAGACTCAGATGCAGGGGGTTCTGAAAGAGAAGTTATTTTTGCCATGAGAATGGCTTCTCAAAACAACAAAAAAGAAGAAACAAAAAAGTAATTTTCTCAGATTAGAAAAGAAAAATGCTTATTCTAAATTATACAGTACGTGGCAGGAAGTGCAAAAATAAATGAACTCCTTTTCCTGGAATCAGACTTTCCTGTTATTGCTAAGAAAATAACTAAATGGCCACAGTAGCACTTCAAAATCCAATGCCAATTAACAGCATACAAATTTTGTTTCCTCTGTTAATTTTACTTCTTACCATGAAAAGCCATGGTCTGAAGCAACCGATCAGCCACCTCCTGTGGGAACACTCCAGGTTCCTGCAGACACAGTGTTCCATCTTGTCTTGCTGAGCAGAACTTCTCAAGGTGAGTAGTCAGGAAATTCAAGCAGATATCAAGTAAGGAATAAGGAGATGCCTCCTCCTTGGAGCCCAAAAAGAAATAAAGGGAACACAAAAGCCAACAAGTTAGTTTCCAGAAAGGTGGAAAACAAAACATTCACTTACTTGTTCAACAAGTATTTTTACTCAAGTGTCTACCATGTGCTAGACACCATGTCAGGCAGTAAGAATACAACATGTGACCCATCTTCTCAAGAAGCAGGAGAAGAGAAACATTTAAGCAAATATTTACATAAAATCTATTAAATACTATAATAGAGGATATACTGGGTAGTTATGTAAGCACAAAGCAGGTTACCCCACCAGTCAAGGATGGTCAGGGACAACCTCGAGGCACAGCAGATTAATCTTCCTAGATTACAACCCATGACCCTTCCCTGCTCAAAACTTCAATGGTCTTCATGGGCCTGAAGACAAAAGACAAAATTCTTAGATTGATGATGCCTGAGTCTAGCCCCAGTTTACTTTCCAACTTGATCCCCATCCCAATCTGATAGTTCAAATATGATCAATTTATTTCAGTAAAATAATTTGCTATAGGTGTTATCCTCAAAAGAGAAAAAGATTAACCCAGTTATTCTAGTTTGAGGAATAAAGAACTAATCAAATAAGTTTCAAGTATAAGGGTTTTAATTATAAAAATAAACACTCTGTCCCCAAAAATAATAATATAATTAAAATATTATTACAGTAGCTACCATCCATTAGGTGCTTTCTACATGACTTTGCTGAGTATTTAATGAGTTATCCATTATTTCATTTAGTCCTCACCTCTACTTTTCAAAATAGTAAACCATTATCTTCATTTTTGCATAACTGAAAACTGGCTCTGAAAAGTCTTACCTTTCTCAGTTTTCCACACATAATACATGAAAAAGTGTAGCTTCAAATTAAAACCTGACTCAGGAACACAACTCTTAACCACATTAAACAACTCACATGATGTTTGGCAGGGAGGGTATAGCTCAGGGGTACAGCATATGCATAGCAAGCACAAGGTCCTGTGTTCAATCCCAAGTACCTCCATTAAAAATAAGTAAATAAATAAAAACCCAATTACCTCCTCCCAAAATAAAACAATAATAAACAAATAAATTTTAAAAACACATGTGACGTTTTAATGACTGAAAATATGCAGCCAATAAAAATTATAGTTCAAAGATATATCAATCACAGAGAAAAACACACATAAGGTAAGATATAAAAAAATACATAGTTTATAGAACATTCCTCAACCTGATAAAGGTCATCCATGAAAAACCCAGTTAGTATCATACTTAATGTTGAAAGTCTTAATATTTTCCCCCAAAACTCAGGATTAAGACAAACCTACCCTCACCACTTCAACATTGTACTGGAGGTCCTAAAATTAGGCAAAAAAAAGAAAGAAAGAAAAGTCACACAGACTGGAAAGACAATGTAAAACTACCTCTAACTGCAGGTGACAGATTCTATATAAAGAAAATGCTAATGAATTCACACCAAAAAAAACTATCAAATTAAAAAAAAAACCCAAAAACAAGTTCAGCAGAGTTGTAGGATACAAGATCAATATAAAAATACTTATATTTCTATTCACTTACAATGAATAATATGAAAAAGAAATTAAGGAAACAATTCTATTTACAACAGCATCAAAAAGAATAAAATACTTAGAAGTAAATTTAACAAAAGAAGGGTAAAATTAAAAAGTTAAAGAAGACATAAATAAATACAGACACTTGTATTCATGGATCAGAAGACTTAATATTGTTAAATTGATCTACAGATTCAGTACAATTCCTATCAAAATTCCAGATTTCTTTCTTGCAGAAATTAACAAGTTGATCCCCAAATTCACATGGAAATACAATGAACCTAGAATAACTGAAACAATTTCTGAAAAGAAGAACAAAGCTGGAAGACTCACACTTGTCAGTTTCAAAACTTACGACAAAGCTCCAGTAAGCAAAACAGTGTGGTATTGGTTTATGGCTAGACATATATATCAATGAAACAGAACTGAAAGTCCAGAAATAAACTTATATTTACCGTCAACTGACTTCAACAGGATGCCAAGACAATTCAGTGGGAGAAAGCATAGACTTCAACAAACAGTGCTGGGACAACCGGATATCCACATGCAAAAGGATGAAGATAGGGTCCTAACTCGTATCATATACAAAAATTAACTCAAAATGGATCAAAGGCCCAAATGTAAAAGCTAAAACTATTAAGCTCTTAGAAGAAAACATTGGTATAATTCTTCTTGACTTTGAATTAGTAAATGGTGTCTTAGATATGATGTCAAAAGCACAAACAACCAAAGAAGAAAACAGATAGACTTCATAAAAATAAAAAACTTTGTGCTTCAAAGGTTATCATCAAGAAAGTGAAAAGAAAACCCACAAAATGAGAGAAAATACCAGCAAATCATATATCTAAGAAGGAATTTGTATCTAGAATATATAAATAACTCTTACGACTCAATTATAAGAAGACAACTCAAAGACAGACAAAGGTCTAAACGGACATTTCTCCAAAGAAATACAAATGACCAACAATCACATGAAAGATGCTTAACATACTGAACATCAGAGAAATGCAAATCAAACTAACAATGAAATAGTACCTCACACCTACTACGACGGCTATAATCAAAGTCAGACAATAACAAGTGTTAGCAAAGTCGTGGAGAAAATGGAACTCTTGTACCTCACTGGTGGGAAAGTAAAATGATGCAGCCACTTTGGAAAGCAGTCTAGCAATTAATTATCATATAACCTAGGAATTCCACTCCTAAGTATGCACCTAAGAGAAGTGAAAATATATGTCACACAAAAACTTGTACATGAATGTTTACAGAAGCATTATTCATAATGTCTAAAAAGGGAAAACCACCCAGTATTCAACAATTTATGAATCAATAAACAAAACATGGTATATCTACACAATGGGAATACAATTCAGCAAAAAAAAGGAATCCTGATACATCATACATCAATGGATTTTGAAAACATTACACTAAGTCAAAGAAGCCAGTCACAAAAGATCACATATGTCAAGAATAGGCAAGTCTATACAGACAGAAAGATTAGTGGATGCCTAGAGCTGGGGGGAGGAAAGGTTGGAGGAAAATGGGAAGTATACACTAATGAGTACAGGGCTTCTTCTTGAGGTGATGAAAATATTCTAAAATTGTGGTTATAGTTGCACAACTCTATGAATATATTAAAAACCACTGAATTGGGTACACTTTAAATGGATGAATTGAATGTATGTGAATTGTATCTCAACAAAACTAATAAAAAAGTTTATAAAACTGCAAATATAAGACTAGAAATAAATACATCAAAATGTTAACTGAGTGATGTACTATCAGTTTTCTTCTCTGAACAAATCAAACTTTCTATACACCATGTGACTTCTATAATGAAAAATTTATTAAAATATTTACATGTTAGTTTACAGTTTACAAAGTGCTTTCACATTGATACACTTGATATTGTAATAACTGAGTAAGATAGATAACAAAGACATTTTATAAGATAAGGAAACAGATTTCATAAATGGTTGGCCCAATGTAGCAGACTGTTAGCTGCCAAACGTAACATCTATTCTTTTCTTCCATGTTAATAAAATTTTATTTTTACCTGAGCACATGACCACCTGTAATAAAAACTACATATCCCAGTCTCCTCTGCAGCTAGAAGTAGCTAGGACGCATGAGAAAAAATTCAGAGGAAATAATTCTTCAAATTTAACTTCTGTCTCATAGAACTTTGCCTCTTCTGTCTTAATTCCTGAGCTGTAAGTATGAATTCTTTCTGCTTTTTCTATTCTTCATTGTACCAACTCTCTAAATATTTAAAATTCATCACCCAGATGAAACAAGATGCCTGTGGCCTCAGTTGGTAAGTTTCAAAATGATCTATTTATTTTACAGAAGAGAAAATAAATGAAAGTTGGGAAACTCTCAGAAGGGAGATATATAAGCCTTCCGAGTACATAATTTTCAGAAGTCATTTTAGTTGAACAAACCCAGGTAGGAATATGTGGACACTTAGAATATGTAATTAATCATTCTAAAAAACTTTTTCTCCAACTGGTAAAATATGTTCACAAAGGAACAAAAGTAGGTTTTTGGACCACACAAATTTTTCTTTTTAAAGAAAGTCTCCCTTATTTCTGTGTTAATTCTTCTTAGTAAGCATAAGACTTTTCTAGTCAGCTGCTCCTCTACTGGGAAGAACATGTGCCTAATAGTTAATAACCTGGGCTTTGGAGCTAGAGTGCAAACCCCAACTTTCCATTTGCTAACTGTGTAACATTACATAAGTTACCTAACCTTTTTGCTCCTCAGTTTTCTCATCTTATAATGGGGATAATAATAATACCTATTTCATAAAGTTGTGAGGATTAAATGAGATAAAACAGGAACCAAACAACTTAGAGTAATGACAGTGTGTCATGAAACACACAGCTTATAAGAGTCAGAGCCAGGATCCAAACCCAGGAAATGTAGCTCCAAGAGCCTATTCCTTTATCCACCGTAGTATACTACCTTTTCAACTTTATATACAAATTCCAAATATATTATCTCACCTGATACTCAAAGCAGGTCTGTGATGTGAACAAGGATAATAATCTCCATTTAAAGGAGAAGAACAGAGAAGTTATATATCAAGCCAGTGTCAGAACTAGAATTGTAATCAGGTTATCTGAGATCTACTCCCAAACCTACACTGCCATCTGTGATTTCCCCAATTTCTAGTACTTTAAGGTAACATAGAAGTATCGAGAAGTCAGTATTTCCCATTTAATTTTTAAACAAATAGCAGCAGCACAAGAGGAGAACTAACGAAGAAAGCATAAAACAGAAAAGCTGGAATTCAGTGTCTAAACAATTTATCTCTTGGAAATTCCTGTTCAAAGAGATTTTTCCTTTCACCAATTAGGCACACTCCAGGCAAAGTAAAAACAAAGCTCCTACTAAAAAAGCAGGAGAGAGAGGAGGTCAAGTCTGATTTCATTTGGATCATA